ATCCTGCTGAGTCCCGAAAAAGTGGTTGAATTCGAATTGAATCGTTTAAGAAGCTGCGAGTGAGCAAGGCGGTGGGGGGGGGGGGGGCTCCTAAATTTAGACAGAGGAGAATTCTGCACAATTCCTCAGGATTAAGCTCAGCTCCAAAGCCTGGAAGAGGTTTGCTCTTTTGCAGGATGTTTGTTTTTGTCTGACATACAACCCTCAGGTCACCTGGTGGCCTCCCATCCTAATGCTATTGGATTCCTGCCCTTGGGACTTCCCTGCTCAGGGACCCTCCCCAAATCCAGCACCATCCTCCGGAGCTTCAGTTCCCATAGTCCCCTGCCCGAACGGCGTCAGCTGGGGATGGTGGGAATTGGGGTCCCCTACACCATGGAATATTAGGGACTTTTCTCAGGGACTTTGGTGCTCGATGGAGCTCTCTGCTGCTGTTGGGGGTCGTGGGTGCGAAACACACGTGTGGGGCTTCATTTTGCCCCCTCCCACTAGGATTTTAATTTGCATTAAAAAAGGGAGATTTAAGGGCGGGGTAGAAGATGCAAAATCCCGCAGGTGCAACTGTGGGTGAGAGCAAAAAGACAAGGATGATGCCTGCTTTGCAAGATAGGCTGGGAAAGTTTGCAGTGCGAAGGAGGAGGAGGACAAAGTAGCTGGGGTGAAGCCCTTGCCGGTTAGCTCCAGGCCCCCATGTTCCCATTAAAAACCTTAGAAAAAACGAAAGCTACAACAGCATTGCAAGGTAGGCCAGACAGGCGGTAAAAACGGGTTTAAAAGAAGCTTCTTTAAAGAAAGTCGCCTCTACACTTATCCTAAGTCTATGGGCCCGTGGTGACCATATCTGACCTCAGAGTTTCACTTCCGGGTTCTTCTAGCCCCCGTATTCACCTTCTCTATGGTAAAAGCCCTAGCGCGCGGCCTTTTGACGCCATCAAGCGACGCTCCGTCCCGGAAGTGACTTGGCGGAGCGCGCGGACGCAGGTAGTAGCCTTCCCCGCCGGTTGCTATGGAAATGGGGGGGGGCGCCTCCATCAGCGCGGCGTTGGGCCTCTTCTGGGCGCCCCGAAAGCGCCTGGCGGGCGGGGAGGTCGCGGGACCCCTTGGGCGTCCGCCCGCGGAACTCTGTGCCACAGGAGCGGGCCAGTTCCCTTCCGGACACCCCCCAAAAAACCCTTCCTCCTCCTCCTCTTCTCCCCACAACAACAACCACCACCCTGTGAGGGGACTGGGCCAAAGACACCCCCGGCTTGCGATAGTTGTGGGGTTGCTTGTGTGTTGTGATTGTACACCTACTGGCTAAGAAAGGTAAAAGAGGAGGGAATAGACAGGTGGTCCTCGACTTACAACCACAATTGTTAAGCAAGACAGTTGCTGAGTGAGTTTTGCCCCATTTAACGACCTTTCTTGCCGCAGTTGTTCACTGAGTCACTGCAGTTTTTGGTTAGTAGCACGGTTGTTAAGTGAATCCATCTTCCTCATTGTATTTCCTCATCAGAAGGTTGCAAAAGGGTATCATGTGACATCCCCCCCCCAAAAGACACTGCAACCGTCGTAAATATGAGTCAGTTGCCAAGCATCGAAATTTTGATGGTCACCATGGTTATTAAGTGGGGAAACGGCCCTAAGTTTTTCAGTGGCGTCGTAACTTTCAACGGTCACTAAACGGGTGGTCGTAAGTATGTGGACTGAAGGAAAGCAGAATTGATGCTTCTCTCTTTCCCAGGGAAGCCGCCCTCGAGCGATAACCATGGACTCCGCCGGCCACCCTTCCACGGGGGAAATTATCCTCCTGGCCACCAGTTCGGCCGTTACCGCAATCCTCTATGCCGTTTACAGGCACAAGTCAAAAGTTGCAGACAGCCTGAAGGTGAGCAGCTGTTTGGATCCCGGCTTAAAGCGGCTTTTTGAGATCCCTGTGCTGGATTTTGTAACATCTG